AATAATACAAATAATTACATCAGCAAGGATTGGCTTTGCCCAGAAATGGAAACACAAATTAATTCCAAGTGAAGATGAAATAATAAGAAAGGAATGCTGAAATGGACAAATTAACAAAAGAAATCCAGGGAAAAGAAAAAACAGAATACTACCAGATATGGAATAAATGGTATAGGTGGATGGAGGAAAGAAACAAGAATCAATGAAGGAAGCCCAAAAATAGTAGTTAAGGAGAATTAACACATATATATGTATCCAAGTGGTTTAAACTTACTAGAGGTAATCAGTCAATATAGTAGACAGAGGAGTAAGATAAGAGGGTTAAGAATGGTGAAATGCAAATGAAATATAATACAAGGGGAAACAATATAAGGTGAGCGATATTGATTGGCAACTGCTATTAGAACAGGAAGCTCCTGTTTGTATTGTGTAAATGTGGTGTACGTCTAAGTTCTGTGTGTGTGTATTTTACATGTTTGTAAATAAAATTTAAAACAAAAAATGGCTTGTAAAGCACAGCTGATTGTCGGAAAGAGAAGCAATGCAAAAAGTAGGCAAAGCAGGGAAGAACTCGTTAGTGACTCATTAGGGTTGAAAAACAGCTTCAAAAAAGCTACATTTGGAGTATAAGACGCACCCAAATTTTCAGCCTCTTTTAGGGGGGGAAGTGCGTCTTATACTCTGAAAAATATGGTATATTAAATCAGGTCCTAAGAATGACACAACAATTTACATTCCATTTCAAATGAGAGGAAATTGTGCCACCCATGTTTGATTTTTTTTCTAGGTGGCGAGAAGGAAGATTTGGACCATTCTAAGAAGCGTTCGATTAAGAGGAAGCATCTGTACAAAACCATTGAGAAAAATTTGAATAACATCAATGTCTCCGAGACAGAGCGCAAATGTGAGGTGAGGCCTCTATAAAAATGACTCTTCTTCAGAGGTTGTAGTCAGCAGGTTCTGACCAGTTCTGGAGAACTGGTGGCAGAGATTTTGCAGTATCCTTCCCCCAGGAATGGGGAGGGAATGGAGATTTTGCAATATTCTTCCCGCAGGAGTGGGGAGGGAATGGACATTTTGCAGTATCCTTCCCCTGGACTGGGGAGGGAAAGGAGATTTTACAGTATCCTTCCTCTGGACTGGGAAAGGAATGGAGATGTAATGACTCCTCTCCTAACTTGAGAAAGTAAAGACTCTTGAAACAGATTATTTCAAAAGGAACCTTTAATCAGGCAGGATGGAAACCAGCAGCATCTGAAAACTTTTAGGCCATGCAAATGGGATTAATCTGATAATGACCCCTCCCCTTTGTCCGAATGCAGATTCTGACCAATACACAAGTGTGAAGATGNCTTAATTGGTTCGTGACTCTCCGAGACCCCTTGCCAGGTTTTGCAGATATCAGCCTGGCAGCTCTCCAAGCCAGATAAGGTCTGTGACTGTAAATCCTCCCTCGAAAGACTTTGCTGGAGGTGAATGAGCAGAATTCACAGTCAATTAATAAAAGGTTTTTTGTCGGGACAAGAACTTTGCTTCAGGCTCTTGGGAACCCTAGATCAGAACAGAGCTCACATTTTCAGTTCTGGGCGAACCGATTGTTACATTATGTGACTCCCTCCTCTGACCACTCCACTATATTCAGCAGAATATAGTGAGTAAACTCAGAGTAAACTCTGCAGGGACTCCTTTTACTGTTACCAAATCTAAATCAGTGCAAAATGTGATTTAAGATAAAATTTGCTCAGCATTCTTAGTAGAGGATGTTTCCAACAGTTCTGGTTTTCTAAAACAGGCAGCTACGGTCCTGTCCAAGTCAACCCTCCAAAGCCAAAACAAGAAAAGCAACACCCTCCCAAAGGACTTCCACTATGATCCAGACAATCTCACTCGGCTGTTCCTCAAACCTCAAATCAGGGTAAGGTTTGCTTTGTCAATGTGTAAAGATCTTGGCAGAGATAATGACAGCTTGCTACTCTGGCCAGAAGATTGGCTAAAGAGGTTTTCTACCTGAGCCACCATGCCTTAGTGCAGGGGTGTCCAAACTTGAAGACTTCTGCCCTAAAGGGTTGTTTAGATCAGACAAACATCTTTCTTATTACTGAGCTGAAGACTTTAACGCTTGTTATTGTGGAAAATTAGAGCAGGTTATTTGCTGTTCTTACCATTGATCCGTATTCTCAGCTGCTGCCTCTGTTTTAAGTCACTGCAGTCTTCTACTTTCCTCTGAATTAAGATGGACATGGTGGCTCAGTGCCTAAGACACTGAGCTTGTCGATCAGAAAGGTCGACAGGTCGGTGGTTTGAATCCCTTGTGGAACACATTAATTAGTGCGTCAGTTCCATGAAAGAATTGTCACGATTCTTTCACTTTATTTTGTTTCTGCAGCTCTCAAACATGCCACTTCAGGGCCGCTCACCCAGTCATAACGACGACGATGAAGTTGGAGAATACGATTACAACAATCCCAATGATACCTCCAATTTCTGTCCCGTGGCGCAAGTGAGTTCTGATCATCAGAAGCGTGCTCTGTGTTTGACTGTCATACTTTCTCCTCTGAAACGGGGGTCTGGAAGTTAGAAAAATTGGTTGCTGATAGCTGCAAGATTTGGGTAGGATAGCTAATGAAACAATGGAGAATTTTAATGCAAATACTCTTGTTCCCCCCCCCCCAAATAAGACTGGGTCTTATATTAATTTTTGCTCAAAAGATTCATTAGGGCTTATTATCTGGTTACGTCTTACTTTCGGGGGGAATACGGTAATGTGTCCATCTGGCTGTCAATCTTATTTTTGGGGTTGGGCTTATAATTAAGAGCATCCTGAGAAATCCCACTGAAGGCTTTCAAAAGCCAGAACTTTTCAAATGTTGCTAAATGTTGCTAAAATAATATCTAACATTTCTTGCACTATAGGTTCCCTTTCATACGGTTCATACGATAATGTCTACTGAGCCACGGTGGCTCAGTGGTTAGAGTGCAGTACTACAGGCTACTTTTGCTGACTGCTGGCTGCCAGCAGTTTGGCAGATTGAATCTTGCCAGGCTCATGGTTGACTCAGCCTTCCGTCCTTCTGAGGTGGGTCAAATGAGGACCCAGATATTTGGGGGCAAGAGGCTGACACTGTAAACCGCTTACAGAGGGCTGGAAAGCATTGGAAAGCAGTATATAAGTCTAAGTGCTATTGCCTGCCTTCCTTCCTTCCATCCCATGGTGGCGCAATGATTAGAATATCACAGGCTGACTGCCCACTGCCAGGAGTTTGATCCTGACCAGCTCAAGGATGACTCAGTCTTCCATCCTTTCCAAGGTGGGTAAAATGAGGACCCAGATTGTTGGGGGCAAGAGGCTGACTCTGTAAACTGCTTAGAGAGGACTGGAAAGTGGTATATAAGTCTAAGTGATATTGCATATATGCTAAGAGCCATATATGCTAAGAGCACAGTAGGAAGTCCCTGACCAATGAAGAGTTGTCAATGGTAAAAAATATTGGCAGTAAAAAAATAATAATCTTGAAATCTCTTTTTAAAAAGTTCTCTCTTCCTGCTGTTGTAATTCTGCCAATTCTTCCTCCTTTGGGATGTACTCCTCAGTAAAGGTACTGTACTGGTAGTCCTCCGTTCATTTAGTGACCATTCAGAATTATGATTCTTAAAAAAAGTGACTTATGGCCGGTTTTCACACTTGTGACCATTGCAGTATCCCTTGTGATATAGAGTACGAATATGAATACTAAACAAAGGGAAGAACTAGAAGGAACGACAGGATGTGAAATCGTTAAAAAGGTCAAATACTTGGGAGTTTATATTTCAACCTCAAACGGGAAGTTATATAAGCACAATTATGAACCACTGTGGTATAGTATACAGANCATTATCCTTGCTGTTTGTTTGTGGTATATAGTTTCTATGGCTTGGGTAAATTTCTTACCAAAGCCCATCTGTTCCAGTTGTAACAACATAAATCGCCAGCTCATGTTATCAAAGGCTTTCTGAGCATCTAAAAACATCAGAGCCATTTGTTTTTCAAGATGAGCCTCATAGTATTCCAAAGTGTCCAGAATTATTCTCATATTATCTTTAATTTGTCTCTGGTAAAAACCTATTCTGATCAGGATGAATAAAGTTGTGTAAGTATTTTTTGAGTTGTTCTGCCAATATTGAAGCAAATAGCTTATAGTCTGAGTTTAATACAGAAATAGGTCTATAGTTCTTGGTTTGAAGTGGGTCAGCCTCCTTGTCAATGGAGGTTTTTAAGGACAGTCTAGACAGTCACTTATCTGAAATGGTGTAGGTTCTACTGCTTGAGCAGAGGGCTGGACTAGAAGACCTCCAAGGTTCCTTCCAGCTCATTCATCCTTTCCTATCCTATTCTTATTCTATAACTATTTAGAGCCTAGCGTTGTACAATTAGCTTTATTTTTTTTTAATTTCTCTTACATACATTCACAAATATACAATCTCATAACTTTCATTAATAATGTCTTATCTTTTAACATTTATAACATTTTTTCCTTCTTCCTAAAGTTAAAAATATAATCGAGGTTGCTTTTCTGCCATCCCTTACGCCCATCTTATTTTGTAACAACCCTCCTTTCTTCCCCTTTTCTCCTTCCCTCTCCTTCTTTCCTCCTCTCCTTTCCTTTCTCTACTTCACCTTCCTTTCCCCCATTCCTCTCCTCTTCTTCCATTTCCTCCCCTCTCCTACTCTTACTCCATTTCCTCCTCTCCTTTTCCCTTTCTTTCTCTTTCTCCTCTTCCTACCCTTCCCTCTACTCCTCTCTCCATTCCCTCTTTTCGTTGCTGTATTTACATATTTTCCTTTTCTATCTGGTGTATTTTCGGGATGGCATTCCAGCAGACCGTGTTCTGTATTTACATAGCCATCTTAAATTTCCTCTTCTGCAATTCATTTTCCATTTTAATAGTTACACATACTAACATCATTGTACAGTTGGCTTTTTATTGTCATCCTCCTAACTGTCCTTTTAAGAAGAAGAAAAAAATATCTTTAAAAGAAGGATAAAGTTTACTCCTCAGTTATTTTTACTAGGTATATGTACTGACTTTACAGTGGTAGAGACTAACTGG